TTAAACTCTTCACTCTGAACTTTACTGTCACTTTTGTCACTTGGGATGAAGAGCACAAACATGAGGCAGCACAGGTCATGCACAGGTGTTATGCTTAGCTCAAGTCTGGCTGAGCACTGCTTTCCTCTGTAGCTGTCTCTCCTGTTCTTGGAACGTGTGAAATATGTATCTTAGGGTACTAACTGGGTCCCATTGTATCTCATTTCATATTTTTATTTGTAAACAAAGTTTTGTGTGTGCATGTATGTCTACCTGTCTCTGTGCTTATAAGAACTGTCTGAAATCTTAAGCCACATGTGAGAAGTGTTGCTTGGACAGATGTTTTAATTCTGCTTACTGATGGGGATTAACTGTGTTTTTAGAGCTTTTTCCTTTGGACAGTGTGTTATGAACTGTACACATTACTAGGGAAATGTAAAGCACAAAAAAGGGATTTATTTGCAGAGTAGGTTGTCAGTGGCTAATGTTGTATCTGGGGCTCAGACTGTTAACATTTGCCCCATCACAGCCAAAATCCTGTTCTTTACCCTTCTACAGCCCCATGAGACTGTTGCTGCCTGGTTGTCCCCTCATGTCTGTCCAGATCTGCTCTCTTTAGCTGTCTCCAGAACTCCAGGCTCCTAGCCCTGGCTTTATGGCCTTCATTACCTGTCTGTATTTTTAACTCTAGTTCCTGTTTCATAGGACTCCCCTCCTGGCAGCTTTCAGAGCTGACCCAGCCCAGCTGTGTAGTTGAGAGCAGACAGGTCTCTGTTCCTTTTACAGCATCTGGTTTTTGCAAGGAACATGTAATTTCCAAGAAGACTATTCAAGTGCAAGTGTGCATTCACACTAGTGAAGTGCACTCAAACAACTTACGTGCTAAACTTTGGTCAAGGGTACTCTCTTCCTTTCCAGGTTTGTACATTGTGTTGCAATAGCTTGATGCTGATCTGTCAGCTGATCCATAGAATCTATTGCAGGAAGAGGGAATACATGAGAAAGGAATGCACCATTTTGTGTTTGTCTTCAGTCACAAAAATGCACATATTCCTTACCTGAAGATAGTTTTGTCTAATGACTTTTTCAAATCATGAAATTTGGCATTTGTAGGTTTATTTGATTCAGAGACAAAGACTAGAAAGATTAGAGAAGTGATAAAAACATAAGTTTTATATTTTTTTAAAAAAATTCTAAATCTAATTGTTTGGGAGTTTGGCATAAGGTATATTAAGGGTTGAAGAAAGTGAACTTTCCAGTAGGGAGCAAGTTTTAACTTAATTGTGGAATAGAAATAACCATCTCCTGTATGTTTTCTGAAGTGGTATTGGACACATTGCCAGCTAGGCCCTGGGATCAGGAAAATATGTTGCAGTGCTCTTAGCTTGGTGTGCAGGATTAAATACACTTCCTGTTCCACAAAGTCCCAACTGTATACTTCAGCGTGATTAAATGTTGAGTTGAAATGTCTGTCTTATGGCATCTAGAATAACCTGTAATAAGACAAACAAACTGAAATGGTCCTTTCTATTAGAAGGGGGAAAACAAATAAAACTCCTAAATCTGAAAATCTAAAATAGATTTCAAATTTGTTGGGTTTTCCCTTGTTACAGTCTGTGGTGTGCAGAAAGATTGAACACTTCTGATAGTTGTACACTGAGAAACCATGTTTGAACCACTGATGAACGTGAACAAATTGCCTCTTCACCTTGTAAATATGCCTTGTTCTCTCAGGAACAGATCTGTGAAATGAAAGTTCATGTAACAATGGTAACTGTTTTAAAGCAATGCAAGCATGGTGCTTTATAAGATTTGTTGCTTTTCTGTCCTTCTAGATGGAAGAAGATAAGGGTTCAGTCAGCTCAGCATGTGACTTTGCTGAAGGCAGGCACAGAGGGGAGGACAATAGGCAACTGCTAGATCCATCTAGCCTGCCCGACAGTTCTTACGTTCACTAGGTAGTACTCCCACTCTACCCTAATGTGTGTGTATCTATATCTACATATGTCACATATAGACAGTCATGGAGCCATCTCCAAAATGCCCATGGTTTTGGGATCTACAAGAAAATTTGCATCATAGTATGTGGTTTTGGTTTTTTCTTTATCAAGCTTAATCATCCTTTAATTTTGCACTTCAGTTGCTTTTTGATTTATTACATCAAATGGGCCATTATCACATAAAGTATAATGTTTATTTGAGATCCTAGATCTTACCTTATGAAAATACTTTATTTCCAGCCCAACTATTAATAATATCTGATATTTCTCTATACTCATTCTTTCTTTAAAGCAGTGTCTGTCTGCCTTGTGTTTCCTGAGGGTTTGTTTCAGGTCTTCAGAGAACATTATGCCTTACTGCCTTGCTGTGTCAGGTTTTCCTTTCATGTAAAACTATGAGCATAACAGTCCATCACAGAGAGAAAAGTGAGAAAAGGGACTCTCTAGCATGTCTGTCTTTCTTCCATGTTCACCAGGCAGTGATGCACCATATTTCTACATGCAAAACTGAGTTTGTCTTTTTGTTGTCATTAAAACTCTCACAATATTACTTTACAGTTAACTGTGAGTTTGATGAAACAGAATTGTTGTTTCCCGGCTTATGTAAGGTCACATTTACTGTTTTTTGAAATAGAGTGAGGATAATAACTTTCCCTAACTTGTGGTTCAAGCATGTTCTTAGCTTTTTGTGTCTAACTTGTGAAGAATAAAGGAGATTCTTGTGAAAAAGAGACACCAGCCCTCTGAAATCCAGAGCTGAGGGTTTGCTCCTTGGAAGCTAGTTTGGGTTGCTCTTGGTTCCTCTTTCTGACAGTCTTTGAATAATATCTAGGACTGCTAGCTCTCAGGTTAGCAGATTCTGGGGGAAAAAAAATTGCCTGGTTGATCTGAGCCTGCATACAACCACTGTAGTATGACCTTTTGCAGGTACTGTAAAGGTGTTGCTTGGTCTGCTTCAAGATGGACTAAATATTCTTCTTGTAATCCTAAGTGTAGGAATGTTGAGAGGCAGTTTAGTATTGCTGTGAACAGAGCCATGAAGATCACTGCATGTGCAGCAGGAGTTTGCTTGCTGAGCTCCAGATAGGAATTTCTTCTGCTCTGTAATTTCTTGTCTGATGTGAAGGTCATACTTGCTGGTACTGCAGTGCTGCAGACTGTGCTGTTCCTGATTATGGTGTCTTCTGTGACAGTGCAGTTGTGATGAGATATGATAGTCACCAAATAAGAATGCTCAGAGTCTCAAGCTCTGTTGAGGTGTGTTTTGTTTTGTTTGTATTTTAACCAGACCCTCTTTTAGACCTGTCAGTTGCAGTGCTTCTGCTCCTGTCTCTCAGGTACTTACAGAAGTTAATTGTCTAGAAATGTTCCTTTTGTGTCTCGAAGACCTCCCAAATGAGTGTGAGTTAGTGTGTGTTTCACTGTGCTCATACATGTTCTCCAAGGTGCTGCAACCACAGCATTGAGGGTTTTAGTGTGTAGAGCTTTCTACACACTCAGACAGCTGTTGACTGACAGACCTGTAAGCATCACATCAAGTAGTGTGACAGAAAGGTCTGCAGGGACCGTGTGCAGTGCAGCACAGAACTCAGGAAGGGGCAGGATAGGAACACCAGTTCTGCCTGTGTTCTCCCTCCTTGTCCTACCAGTTGGGATTTTTCTCTTGGATTTCCAAATGACTCTTGCTCCTGTTGCTGCCTCTTTGTAGTACAGGAATTGTTCTGTTCTGAAGCTGTTACGTGTCTAGCTGCCTGTTTTGGGGGATGAGGAAGGAGTGTGTCCACTCAGAGTAAACCATTCCCATAGGGAAGTCTGAGATTCTTTGCTCTTCTTGCAGTGTTGGGCAGTTGTGGGTGGCATGAAAGAAATTGGGGTTGGAAACCAGAGTCTTCAGACAGCAGTCAGGGACCTTTGGTCACATGGTGAAAAGGTGGGGGAAGCTCCTGAGTGAGCTGTGTCCTGTCAGACTAAGATGCCTCCTCCCAGAATTCTTCCCTCACTGGTGTGAGGAGAGTGTAATGAATGCCTAAACTTAGCCATGTGTTCAGTATTTGTTTGACAGGATTCTCTCATGGAGGGTTTCAAATTAAATTAAAAAGCATCCCCATGCTCCACATTCACATTCCTATTTCCTTTTGGAAAGGATACTGAAGTCAGTTTAGGGTAGTCTCTCTCTAGAAGTACAAGATTTCAGTGATGCTGCAGTTGACTGGAGTGCAGCAGTGCTATAGAGGAGCACACTGGTAGGTGGCACTTACACCCAACATCTCTGTTACTGCTTTTGTTTCTTTTATTACTTTTATTACTTTTTTTTTCCTCACCTACAAATATGAACTGTATATTTTGCTAATGGTGAATTATTCTTCATGCTAGCATGAACATGACTGAACCTTTCTGACATCAGCCTTGTTTGCATTTAGATAAATAATGTTTACGAAATCAGCAATGTGGTTTTGTTCCATACCAAGCCAAAGGGTATCTATGGTAGTGATGGAATGTAAATTACTGTAAGAAGTTCCATTGTACACTTCTGGAGGAAAAATTTTTACTTAGGATCAGGTTGCTGCGTCGTGTTCCGCAGCCCTGGCCTGAAGCTTTCTCTTGATAGATTTCCCTTAAAATAGGGCAGAGCTGAGCTTGTATAAATTGTTGTGCTGCTGCTGAGGTGAATTTGAGGCATCCCAGCTGAAACTGCATGTGCTCTGCTGTGGGGGTTTGTTAGAGCTGGAACACAGGTTTGCTAACCAGTTCATGTCCAACATTAGGCAGACATGGTGCTAAACCATTTCCATATGCTCACCAAGGCTGCATTCAAACCTTGGGGATATAAAATTTTAGTGGGTATAGACTTGGGGAAGGGAGGTAGCAATATTATCATCATTGTGGTTCTGCTGTAAAATTGAAAAATAGTCAAAACACTAAGAAAATCTGGTTTTCCTGAGTGTTTTCTGATAACATCTTCATTGCCAGAATTTGTGAGTACTGATTTTTGTTTGTTTTGTTTTTATTTCTTCCTTCCAGCTTACTGAGGCAGGTTCAGGTATCAACTGCTTGGACTCCATGTGCTGCTTCTCAGATGGGGAAACAGCATGCACATCTGTTAGAAGAATGTTGGAACGACTAATGGGAAGATGTAGTCCGACCCGGGTCAACAGGTGTGGCATTTCTCTCAATAGCCTTTGCTGCAGACGATTCTCCTATAAACTGGAACCTGATGAGCCTGCAGCAATAGATGTCTAGAAATCAGCTGCAGGTTTTGCTTATCTAAATAGGAAATGCAACTCTTTATTGTACTTTTTTTCATCCTAAAAGATTAGTTTCTTCTTTCTTTTTGAGTGGTTTCTTTTGGGATGTGGAGGGGGAAACGGTTTTCAAAAGATTTCTGTTAAAGCATTTACTTTGGCTTTACTGCCAGTTCTTGTGTTGTATCTGTCGTAATTCCTCTTGATTTGTACATTCTTCTCTTTAGAGAATCAAGCCTTGCTGCTGGTTTTGTTCTCCTTTTTATGATCACTTTTTTTGCCTTCATGAATCAGGAGTTGTTTGTAAAGTCGAAAGACTTTTCCCTTTGGTTCTTGATGTACAACCTCCAAATATTTACCTTGGAGCTTGCATTACTCCTGAAGATATACAAAAGGCTCACACTCCCCCCCTTAAATATAACTTCATTGTTAGAAGGAGAGTCTTTAAATCTTTCAGCCATTGATTGATATGAAGATGAAATATTTTTGTAGTAGAACTTTTATAATCTATTTCTAAAATCAGAGTAATTGACACAACAGAGTCTTCAGGTTCTAAGAATTTTAAATGTTTTTCGGTTCTAGGAGGTATATTGTCAAAACCATGTGTGTGCCATTCCAAAGTATGTGCTAAATAAATCTTTCCTTCACAAACCACATGTGAAACAAATGTCAGTGGGATAAAAACACACCAGAGTAATGGAATGCATCTGATGAGCAATAGTGCTCTGCAGTGTGCATAAATGTGAGAGAAGCTCTCACTGAGTCCACTAATGTGCCATCTCCCCATTCCCAAATAAAGAGGCATAATGAACAAACATGGAAATATTTGGGGGTAGAAATATAAACAGTCTTTTGTACATCGTAATCTGTCAGTCTTTGAATGATATCATGGTCCTTCATTGGCCAAAAGGCAAACCTGAAAACATTGAACTTCACACATTTTCAAGGAAACTCATTTTGTATTTGAACAACTTTGTCTCTTTCGGTTAAAGGTTGTGATATCATTCATTTGGTATCAGATCTCGTGTGGGTAATTTTCACTGACAGCTTTGTCAGCTCTGATTCTGCCTTTAGGTATTGCCTGGTCTGTAGTACATCTCTGTTGGAACTCTTGTGTTGAACACAGTGTCTGTGGTTTCAGTCAGTCTCTCTCTTCTGGCTTGCTTATGAAATTTATTCAATGTTTCTACAAATCTAGGGTATGATTATGCAAAATGTTTCATTCCATATGAAAAATGAACTGTTATGATTAAGTACATTTTTAATTCAAACTCGCTGTATAGAAAGTGGGCATGATGTGTAAAATAAACAGTTTAATAGAATTTTTAATCTACAAGGTGAGCATTTAATTGGTCTAAAAAATCAACATTTTGGTAGCAGTTGCTTTTAAGTTTTTTGTTGGGGTTTTTTTTCCACTTCTCTGTAAAACTGCTTTCCAAATGAGGAATTTCTTGTGCTGCTTTTTTTCATTTATTGTTATCTAATTAGAGCAGGTGTTTAATTTACATTTGCCTTAGTAATGTGTAGTCCTATAAGGTAGGTATTCTGTGTTTTATTTTCTGCAGTACATTTATAGTTCTACAGTTTTCTCTTTTTTCCACTGAATTTTTCTTTCCTCAAGAACTTTCAAATATTTAATGAAGATAACTCATATTTGACAGAATATTAAACACTTTGAAGACTGCTTTTCCTCAGGTTTCTTGTCTGCTTACCTCATGTAATTTTCAGATGAAGTTCCATCTAGCCAAATACTTTTAGAGCTCTTAGAACACAGATGTTAGGATTATGTTTAATGAATATGCAAAACTATCTTGGTGCTACACTAAGGGCTTGAAGTTCTGTGGGTTTTGCTTCTGCCTCTGGTTGAAATTGCCCTGAACAATTTTCATTTCACTTAAATTTATGTACAGTACAACTAGAAAAGAGATCTTTTCAAGTCAGTTGTATTTGCTTTCTTCAGCTCGTTCCACTCAGTATCGAGACTTAAAACAGTCTAAAAGCCAAGGAATAGTTTTTCCCCTTACACTTTCCTGGTAATATGAGAAAGTATTTGTTCATTTTTTAATGTATTAATTGCTTAAGTCACATGAAGCAGTTACAAGTTGTGACATGCTGAAGGTACTGCTAAGAAATCTATTGGGTGATTTAAAAATGCTTGTAAAATTGTTTAGGCTTTGGTCATGAGCTTGAGCTACTTTGGTTTTTATCCAGATCTTCAGGAGATTACACAGCCCCCAACAATTTGGTCCTTTGAGTACTTGTGCTGTATAGAACAGCTGATTATTCAACCAGGAGGTAGCTGCAAATTATTTTCATTGACCTAAGTGATGCTGATAAATACATTGTCTGTGAGTGCTGTAGATTGCAGAGCACTACTTTCAATAACGTTGCTGTAGCCAAGCTTGTGTTGTACTCTCTGCTCCTGATATTCTGTCAAATATGACACCTGAACATGAAATCAAACATGGTTTCAAATTTTGATAGAAACTTTGATGAATCAAAGTTGTACAAATGCTTGGAGTAGTGGGCCACAGGAATATAGTCTCTTGTGCTTGATTTACTGCTTGTAAAATGTATCTGAGAAGTATTTTCTATAGCTTCATTCACCAGTTAGAATATAAAATGTGTGGTGTGGTATGTTAAAATGCATTTTTGTCTGTCTGTTCCATTAAATTGTCTGTCAGCTTGTCAGTCACTAAAGTATTAAGAATGCTGGATCACCTACATTTCTTGTACAACAGGATTCATTGCCAATTGTTGGGTCTCCCATTAGTGGTACTCGTGTCGAGGCACTGCATGTAACAGGTCTAAAGAAACAGCAGATTTCTGACAGAGGCTAATTTGGAGGACAAGTCGGTTATATTTTGATTTTCTGCCTTCCAGCCTTTTCCAGCTTTTCATGTACAGTCCTGTAGCATTGTTCAGCCAAGAACAGCATTTCTTCCCAGGCAGTAATTTGTCCTCAAGTGAAAGACATTGCGAGATCCCATCGGAATTAGCAGCTGTGACATGTTAGGTAGTTTTCCTGATGCCTTAACATTTAACAGTAAGGGATGAAATAGATTCATGACTGTGGGTAAGCTTTGCCTACCCACTGAGGCCAGTGTGGATGTTTCCCATGAGGACAGCAGTGTGCTGGGCTGAAGGGGGAGCTGGAATGGCCTCAGGCTGTACTGCAGCATCATGTTCACAGGGCCTCAGTGTGCACAGGCAGCATTCAGAGTCTCCTCGAGGCACAGTAGTAAAACTTCAGTTGCAAAACTGGCATATAAACCTCTGGTAGGTTTAGTTCGTAGCAGTGAAAATACCTGTAGCTGTGAGTAAACGGTTAATGACACAGTAGGCATGAAGAATTGGCTTCTGTTTCCAAAGGTTGGAATGAATTGCAGCTGCCTACATGAAAAGACTAGAGTAGTCTTCTAAAGAGGTACATTTTCCTAGTCTTGTAGCACTTTTACCTTTTGCTTTCGTAGACTTTTCTCCTCACCTCTAGAGTATAAGTTCCCCATCAGCCAAACTTTTCTTTTATTGTTGCTTTAGATCATGGAGTTCCTCGGATCCCTTCTATGCCAACGACAGAAGCATCTTGACTCTCTCCACAATGGACTCAGCCACTTGTTGACAGGGACATTTGTAGATGCCTTGTGGAAGCCATGTATGTGGTGCTCACACACCTCTAGTAGGTTCTGAGGCGAGTTCAGTGTCCGGCGCTGCCCTAGGGAAGACTAGTGTGACTGCTCAATGAGCCTCTGGCTTGTCTGGCCTGGCATGAGTCATCTGCACAGCCATTGCTTCCAGTATTTTTTTCTAATTACATCTACAAATTGTTAAATAATTACTTTTTTTTTGGCAAGGAGTGCTTTTACCTCTGACCATTTGATCTCTTTTTCTTACGGTATGAGCAGATTGGAATCCTGCAGTTAATACTTGAGACGTCACTAGTACAATGGCAAAATCCTCCTCCCAAATTTTGAGTGATCCAATTGGAATCAATTTGAATTTGCACAATGAAACTTTTAAAAGTGACATTTTTCATGATGACCCTTTCACTTTAAACACACACGTTAATTTTGAGCTGTGTCTCGCAGATGTTGTCGTAGCTTTTTGCAAATCAGTTTTGTTGTTTCTATGGACAGTTACTGTATTCTATAAGCAATCAGTTTAGTTATTGTTGAGAGTTAAATGCAATTCAAATATTTATGCTGGTGTATGAGTGGCAATATAGTAGTCATTGCTTTGAAAAACACTGTTAACTGTGACAAATTAGTAATTTGGAATAATGAGGGATATAACAGTTCACTCTTCTCTCAAAGTATCATTCAAAGCCAGTCATCTTTTGTGATGCCCTGGGCGGTTTGTTAACAGTTCTTGATCCTGGTATGGAAAAATGTGTTAAGAATCGGTGATTCTGCAGAATTCTCACTAGCATAAATTTTTTGAATTATTAATCCTTTGAAAGTTGGGGAATTTTTGCATGTTTTGTTCTTTTACGTGTATTTATATTTGGCCATGTTGTACTTTGAAGATATAATTAATGCTTAATTATCCTCATCTATCGGAAGGATCCGAGACCTTGGTGGCAATGTTTTGATACCTGAGTATGCCAATAAAAACAAATTGCACAGTTGGAGCTCTGAATGTTGCATCTTGCAGGTACATCTGTGGTCCCAGTATGGATGTGTCTGTGTGGGGGGGACTGGGCAGCAGCAGCATGTGCCTGTTCCTTCAGCCAGGATGGCTGATCCTGTTGGTTGTGTTGGATGTGGGAGGTGAGGTGGAGGTGCTGCCACAGGGATGACCATGGAGCATTGCCTTAGGCATGGCAGTGTTTGGGGCTGGAGGCTGGCAGAGGCACTGCTGCTTTGGGCATCCTGTTTTCAGTCAGTCTCTGACACTGAAGTTCCATCAATAACTGGAATACTCTTCCAGTCAGACAGTGAAAGATGTAAAGCTCCACATTAAGATTAGCTCTGGGTGTGAATAAAACACAGACTGTCA